CTTTTACATGGGAATCATTTGTACCTCTGCTTTCAATACTTAGTTTTATAGGTTCTCCCATCCCTCTTTAACTTGTTTATCTCTTATAATTTCAGGCCATGGCATGGTATCACTTTATCTCCTTTTTCCTTTTAGCTTACCCAGAGGCTTTTAACAGGATCACCATATTCAGAGTTATAAATTATTTCATAATTTTCTTTATTCATTAAGTCACTCCACATTCCTTTTGGTTGGAATATTTACTTTGAATAATTAAATAAGTAATAAGTACTATCCTTAAAGTGTTACTCCAATCAACCCTCCAGTTTTAAAGAGGTTGTAGAAAAAATGGTTTTAAAAGTTAAAAAAAAAAAAGTTGGCCACGCCCACCCAGTCACATTACACCCCCGCACCAAGCCACACCCACAGAACCGGTAGTAACAAATTTTACATTTCACCACTGCACAAACTCCATATACTGCTTTATTAAGACTGGAGAATATGGATGTCACTATTTTCCCTACAACCCAGGGTTGAGGATTTGGAGTGCCATTTCCTACCTTATACTTCCTCCCCATTATGAGCAACCATGTTCCTAACGTTCAGCATTTCTCTGCTTGAATCTGTGTATTTTCCTCTTCCAATTCAGCTTAAAGTCTTCTTAATAAGATTTTAAAATTCTTGATAAATTATTTTTCCTTAATGGAATGTGATTCACAAGTTCTTAAGAATTCTCCACATTTATGATGTCATAGTTAAGAATCCAAATATTTCTAAACAATGCAATCTTCTTAAACAGTGTTCCTGAGTCATGCTTTTTCTTCTTTTCACTTGGCTGTCAGCGGATAGCTTGTATGAATATACTACTTGAACTCCCAACATCTATATTTTCTTCTCTTCTCTTGAAATCCTTAAAAGAATTTGCCCTCTTGGTTCACAAAAGGACATGTAGGAAATGATAGATTCTTCTTCATTCAAAGCAACTAATTTAATCAGCTAAGTATTATTCCAAAAGTTAGCTCAGTATTTTGGCCCTTCTATTTATGGGATAACTGACCTCAGTGAATGAATGAATGAATGAATTGAAATAAGAAAGAAAGAAAGAAAGAAAGAAAGAAAGAAAGAAAGAAAGAAAGAAAGAAAGAAAGAAAGAAAGAAAGAAAGAAAGAAAGAAAGAAAGAAAGAAAATAATCATTCCTAGGATACAATGACAAGAAAAAAAGGGAGAATTCTCAAATGAATATTTAAAAAAAACCAACAACTTGTCTGTAGATATTTAGACATTTCAGGATACTTCTGAAATTGTCTGTCTGTCTATTTCTATCTCCTCTAAGCTTTTTCGGGTTTTAATACTGCTGTATTTTACTTTCAGAGTAAATTAACAAAAATAACTTACTATTTCATCATTATATATATATATAGTCAATCATGCAGAGCAAAAGGAAAGGAAAGGAACTTTCTTTTTGATCGGTGAGAAAAAGTCGTCATCTATAGTGCTTATTTCTGTATTAAATAATAAACTAGTAAGTAAACTCTATAAAAATATGTAAAATATATACATATAACATCCCATTTAGATTTAATAGATTCTGCCTTAAAGTATATCCATTTATTAGTCTGTTAAACTAAGAGTTTATTAGTTCTAATTGGGAAAAAAAATAGATTAATATTTTGCTTTTATTTTTGAGGGATTATGACTGAAGTCATTAGTTATTAAAAAAACTATGAGCACAAGCACAAACTCTTGACTATTCCCCTATATACTTAGTACATAAATATTCTTTTTTTTAAAAAAAATCAAATATCCCTTTCATGTTCAAAATAAGAATACCATGTGCTAGAACAAGATAACACTGCTCAAAAGAATTTCTTCTTCTTCTAGCGTTTTCCTGCAAGTACAGGGTCTGCTCTCCCCCCCTCCCCAGATCAATCCCGTGTTGATCCATTGTGCCAGGAGTAGACCAACCAGCTTACCATCCTAGCTTGACACAGTGGGCTGAGAGTATGTGACTGGCCCAAAGCACCCAGCCAACTCATGCATAAGGAGGCACTAGAACTCACCGTGTCCTGATTTCTAGCCTGCTGCCTTAGCTACTAGACAAAACTACCTCTCACTCAAAGGAATATATATTTTATATAAAATATAAAATTTCCTTTGCTTATAATAAAAAATGTATTTTATATCTAGCTAACTGTTACATGCAAATTTAATTCCTGCAGATAAATCTGCTTTAGTGGTAGTACACAGCGAGTAAATTTTGTTAAGCCAGAAATCCAAAATCTTGTTTTTTTATACTTATCTTAAAGTATTATGAAAGTATTTGTATTTGAAAAGTGGATAATATGTGAAAACCTATTTTATTCAGTTCAACATTTTGAACATGTTTGTAGAACTTTTCAAATTCATAATCTAAGTTTAATAAATATAAAATATAAAATAAGAAAAAAAGAATGTAACCTTTAATCAGATGTTTATTTTGCTGTTGTAGACTAAACATTAAGTATAGTTGTTAGAATTTTTTTGGTATGTAATTGCCAGAAAAAGAAAGAAGTAGGCGTTATTGTACAGACAATCCTTGTTTAGTTGCCACAATTCATCCACTGAAATGGTTACTAACTGTGTGTGTGTGTGTGAGAGAGAAAGAGAGCGAAAAGGGGTGTGTGCGCAAAAAATGTGGGTTGCTGCTTCCTTATTCAGATGAAGTTCTTTTGTGCAACAGTACCACTGTTATTCTCACTCTGGTGCACCTTATTGTTAGGTATAGAAATTTGATTGTAAGTGTATGCATTCGTAGGAAAATCATTTTACTAGCCGTTTCCCCCAAAATAAGACCTATCCAGAAGTAAGTCCTAGCACGTTTTACATGTGCACCTAATATAAGCCCTAAACCAGAGATGAAATGCTCCCGGTTCGGACTGGATTTGCCGATCCGGTAGCGATGATGGCTGGTAGTTCGGAGAACTGGTAGCGATGGCAACTGGAGGCTCCGCCCACCCACCTTAGCTTCTGCAGCCCACTAGCCCCTCTTGCCCTTGTCTTTCTGGGTGCAGCGCTTCTGCTTGTTGGGACACTTCCCCACAGTGCTTCTGCTGGTACCACCACGCAAGCCTCCCATGAGGAAAAAGAGGGAAAAAGCAAAGTGGCTGACTGCAGAGCTGCCAGCTTCAGGAAGTGACCCAACAGGCAGAAGCAACATGCCCAGAAAGAGACTCCGGCCTTGCCCCACCCTCTCACCACCTGCTCTCCCTTCGCTTTGGCTCGGGGGCTGAGGCTGGGGCCCAGAGACGGGCCATTCACCGAAACCCCAGAGCTGCCACCTACTCACCGCCTGCCTCAACCGGGTCGGGGAATGCACCATTCCCCAACTCCAGCCTTGCCATGGAGCCGCCGCCCGCTTGCCCTTCACCACATGGCGTGTCCTACTCCTTACCTTTCTCCCGCGGCTGGCTGCCAGGGAAGGCAAGCACCCGAAAGTTACTGGACCTGCTCTCCTTCTTGAATGTGCCGCCACCATCGCCGCCCTGGTCCATGCGTCGGCTGCGCAAACGCACACCATTTATTTCATTCATTCATCAGTGGCAGGTTGGGTGTAGCCTTGTGTAGCCGCTTGTGGACCAGGGCGATGATGGTGGCGGCACATTCAAGAAGGAGAGCAGCTCTGGTAACTTTCGGGCGCTTGCCTTCCCTGGCAGCCAGCCGCGGGAGAAAGGTAAGGAGTAGGACACGCCGCGTGGTGAAGGGCGAGCGGGCGGCGGCTCCGTGGCAAGGCTGGAGTCAGGGAATGGTGCATTCCCAACCCGGTTGAGGTAGGCGGTGAGTAGGTGGCAGCTCTAGGGTTTCGGTGAATGGCGCGTCTCTGGGCCCCAGCCCCCGAGCCAAAGCGAAGGGAGAGCAGGTGGTGAGAGGGCAGGGCAAGGCCAGAGTCTCTTTCTGGGCGTGTTGCTTCTGCCTGTTGGGCCACTTCCTGAAGCTGGCAGCTCTGCAGTCAGCCGCTGGCCCACTACTTCTGCTTGCTCGTAGCCACAACAGAGCAGGAGGCTGAGTTATATGTTGGTGCCGCAGCCGTGAGGCGAGGCAAGTTTTAGGGCATGATGGCCTGGCTGCAGGGACCCTGAGGTAAGCTCGTGGGGCAGCTCCACCCCCATCTCGCCTTGTGGCTGCGGCACTAGTGTGTCTCTCAGCTTCCTGCTCTGCCGTAAGCAAGTAGCAATTTCCTGTACATGGAAAAAAAATAAGGCACCCTTATTTTTTATAAAATAAAAAAATTTATAATTATTTTTTTTATAAAATATAAAAAATAGCATCATGATAGGTTAATAAGCCACTGGTTTCTCTAAATAGATTTTGAAAACATATTTCAATTTCAATTCTGTTATGGTCACTAGCCAATAAATAAAACAGAGATAAAAGAGGAGAAATATAATAAAAATAGATGGATGCTTACTTTGCTGAAAATCCCAGGATGACGTTAGCAAGAGCAAGCATGTGGGATGCTTGGTTCCATTCAGATATTGAGGATCACAGGTCCTACAATAAATTTCCATTACCTATGCCAATGAGAACTGATAGGGAGCAGGATTTCAAACTATTTGGCAAGCAGGCTTACTCCATAAGCAATGCAAATATACCAGCTGCACAACTGTAGTGTGATTTGTTTATTTGTTTGATTGACTGATTGATTTGATTTAGACAGTTGTCATTCAGTTCCAAGATCTCTCTGTCCCTACCTCTCTCAATCTCTCTTATTAAATTTATATGGTGCCTCTTTTACTATTTTGCTTAATGAGATTTTCTCTCTTAATGTGGGATTGTATGTCTTTTATCTGCAGAAACTGTGTCCTAGATAGAGTACAGTACTTTAAACAATGAGCATGACTATTTTCACACAGTTTTCAGTTGTAAACACAAAAGAAGAAAACTTGAATACTGCTTTTTCATTGCATGTTGAATGGATAAAGATAATAAGGCAGATGTACATAACGGAATTCTTATTCTCTTACTGTCTGACATGAAGGACAGACATCTTATCACTGCATAAAAAAGCCAATTGGTAGTTGAATGAAAATATGTCTTCTAGAAAGTGCAATTGACAGCAGACAGAAACAGCTTTCAGGATAGTAGGATAAAAAGAAAACATCGCCCCAGGCTTATGTTCAAGACAAAGAGTGATTCATGGCATGGTGAGCTCCCATCATTTGCATCCTCTGGACAATGGTGATGGCACCTGCTAACCCTTTCAACCTGTAAGTATCTTAGATAGTCCCTCCAACACAAATGGGATAAAGATCACAACCGTTTTTATTTTCTAACTTAAACCAAGGAAGATAGAAGCACAGAAACTGGTATTACATTGGGTCAAGCATTTATCCATATACTTTAAAATGATTCACACTGATTTGAATATTCTGTAGAGTTTCAGATTTATTTTTTTTTTAGCTTTGTGTGAAGATTTTGGAAGCTGGACTTTCTACATGTAAGAGAGAAGACAATGCAATTGCACTCTGTATTTAATCATATTGAGCTATTGAACAGAGAGCCAGTTTGGTGTAGTTGTTAAGTAACATGCTGACCAAGGGAACCAAACAGGAAACATGGCCGGTTCAGCTCATTCTACTTTTTAACAGAATCTTGCAAGTCCGGGAATACATTTCTTCTCCCATTTCCTTTACCCTGGAAAAAATTAGGGAGGGTCTTGTCTGGCCCACTATTAAGCTGCAGACAATGCTGTCTCTTATCTGACTATTCACTACGCAGCCCAGGGTTTTCAGTCCAGACTCCCAAGGCCTTTCTTACATGCCATTATATTAAAGCACAAAGAGAAACATGGATAGCATAAATTCTAGTCTCACCTCAAGCATAAAGCCACCTAGATGACTTTGGGTCAGTCATTCTCTCTCAGTCCTAGGAAGCAGACAATGACAAACCACTTCCAAAATCTTGCCATGAAAATTTTAGGGGCTTGTCCAGGAAGTTGCCAGAATTCAAAACTGAGACTAAGACAGGCACATGCCTTTCCTATCAAACCGCTCATTTTAATTGTTCTTTCAGTCATGAAAACAGATGAACCAAATAAACCCACCTGCTAATATTTCTATTAGCTGTAGTTCTTTGTACCAAAGTATTTTTTTTAAATAGACAATAAAATGCTACTTCTAGCTCTTTTATCTTTGTGCAGCACAGTTTTAGTTTAGCATAGGAGTTTAGCATAGGAATTCTAATTATCCTGTAAGGAAAAATAATTCCAATACAAGGTAGTTAGAAATCATTTGGGAACTAAAGGATTCATATAGGAAAACCATGTCTTACATATTTCAGTCATGATTCTAAATGCAATCACACCATTTTGTTCAAATTCAAATTTAAAAACATAGAAAAATGTGTTTTACTGTAATAACTAGACCAAATCTCATAACAAAGACTATCCTGTTCTATTTCAATCTATTATTTTTGTCAAAACTGTTTGATTTTCTATATAGTATATCAAAGTTCATAAAGACAAAACAAAAACCAAACAAATTGCACCTCAGAGTGATCCTTCTAAGAATCAAAAGGCTATCCAGAAGTGGATATGGTTCCAATAATTGTCTCACTTTGAAATACAAGTACAATGATGGAAAGACATCAGGGAATTCTTGAAGATTATTCCTATATTAATTTGCGCAAAGTTTCATATTTCAAGGTCAACTCCAAATTAACTGTTTTGATTGGAGCATGAAGGAAATACAAAGTTGCCTTTTGCTTCCAAAATGCTATGATAAATTAAATGCATTATTTTTCTTACACAATTAACAGATTTTAAGACTGTGCAATTCTTGAGCAGTTTTCCATGACTCTCCCTTCAATGTTACGCTATGGAACAGGTAGTTGTCATAGTTACTTCAAACATCCTAAGCATTCAATTATATTATTCTCTTTCAGAATAGGTACAGCCTGTTTAGATGCATGAGAAGTAAAAGGCAGAGGCCCAATTAAAAAGAAGCAAGATTTGAATTAAGATAATGCTGCTGTATAATTTGGAAATCAAGTGAAACCAAATATTGAATGCAGCAGTATTTCACTCCAATCTAAGAATTGGGTAATATACTTTATTTCAGTAACCTAGTAGCAGGATGTGCAACTAGGGTTGAACTATTCTTGTTCTTTAAAAAAAAAGTTGTGTTACAAAAAATGATGCTTGGGGATTAGTGCAAAGCAAATCTGGTTTAGTTAAATGTAATTAAATTAAAGCTGGTTAAAACACAATTTTTCTTCACTCATGTATTGAATGCTCAGCTGGTGACAATGTCTAATCATCCTTGTCTGATCTCAAATAAGTAAATCAGATGACATCTAGTTAGGATTTGGATGAGAAGAACCCCCAAAGGTCCAGGCTAGAAACGGAATTAAAAACTATTCCAGGAGATAACAAAGATAAATATATTTCATATTGTTCCCAAGAAAACTCCCTAGTCATATCTATAAAACTGAATTCAGTAAGATTTTTATCTTTCCATACATTTAATGAATTTATAATTCTATAATACTAAAAATTATAATTTGCCAATTGTTGGACTCTCTGGCAGTACAAAATATTTGGGATATGTTGTTTAGTATTAAATTAGATTTTTTTCTGTATGCTCCTCACTGTAATTTAGATCTTTGGATTGACCTGCAATAAGGCCTCTCACTTCACTCTATTCTCATGATCATATTTTAAAATAAATACTGACAAAGGCAACAATAAAGTTACAAGATTAAAAAGTTGACATTTTCAATTTGAACATGCAGTATGTACTTCTGAATGTTAACAATACTTGGCAATTCTCTTGAAAGACTGGGACTGAATAATTTGATTATCTACTCAGCTTAATCAAAAATATTTTTGATTATTAAAATACACTCAATTATCTGGACATATTTGTTTGTTTTTTTAAATACAAGATTTTCTAAAATAAAACATTTAGTTAGTGCTATTTTAAATAGCACTTAAATAGCATATTTAGGATTCTATTTTAAAATACCGAACCAAGAATTTTAAGCAGAATGAAACAGCTCTTTTATTCTATTGGGACTACAACTCTCAGTCTGCTCTGGGAATTGTAGTCCTATCATATCCCGAAGACATTTAAATTGCTTCTTTTATTAGATTCCTTATTAATTAAAATTTGTTCATATTGTTAATTTTATTTCTTATCAGGGCTGAAAGATATAAAGGCGGTTTGTATCAGAATGCTGATCAGGATGGCTGGCAAAGATAATTACTGTCAGAAATCCAAATGCTTGTTTGAGCAAGCATTTCTTGCAATTGTCTTTTAAACTGTGTTATGCATACAACGTCAGCACCAAGAATGCTAAAGCCTCTGAAAAGCAATTCACTCCCTGTAGGAACTTTACAGTTTAAATGTTTTTTCCAAATCCAAATCATTATCCCAGCTCTTTCACTAAAATCTAATCAACTGTAATTGGTCAGCCAATAAATTTAAATAAAACAAACAACAAACATACATGTTGGTCTTTCTGTAACGTGCATTAACAATTACAGTTAAATGCAGTAACATTCATCACACAAAATAAAGCAAATTTACTGTTATATCATAAATATTAACATGCTTGTTTATCTTGGTAATCTATTCTTCTTAACACAACAGAATTAGAAGGGACCTTGGAAGTCTTCTAGTCCAACCCTCCACTCAAGCAGGAAACTACACCCCATTCGGATAAATAGTTCTCCAATCTCTTCTTAAAAACCTCCGGTATTGGAGCACTCACAATTTCTGAAGGCATTAATTGTTCTAATTGACAGGAAATTTCTCCTTTTGTTCTTGGTTGTTTCTCTCCTTGATTAGTTTCCATCCATTGCTTCTTATTCTGTCTTCAGGTGCTGTGGAGAATAGCTTGACTTCCCTCTTTTTTGTGGCAGCCTCTGAGATATTGGCATACTGCTATCATGTCATCCCAGTCCATTTTTTCATTAAACTAGATGTACCCAATTCCTGCAACCGTTCTTCATGTTTTTGCCTCCAGTCCCCTAATCATCTTTGTTGCTCTTCTCTGCACTCTTTCTAGTATCTCAACATCTTTTTTTTTTTCGTGGTGATCCAAACTGGATGGTAAGTATGGTCTTAATTATAAAGTGATACTAACACTTCATGTGATTCTAACCTATTGTTAATGCAGCCTAGGCCTGTGTTAGCTTTTTTGGCAGCTGCAGCACACTGCTGGCTCATATTTAAATGATTAACCATAGGACTCAAAGATCCCTTTCCTATCACCTGTTGCCCCATCCATTTGAAAGTGCAAGCTTCTGCAATTATAACCATTCCGCCACTGATCCCTGACCTCTCCTATAGCGCCCGTGAGATTAGCCAATATGTCTCCCATTGTTTTGAAATATTTATTCCTCTTGCTGCTTGCTGTGGTTGAATGTCTCAAACCTCCTTTCCCCAAAAGTTTTGTTGATCTACCTCAGCCTCCTTTTTAATTGTGCAACTTAGTAGCTTTCATATGTTACCAACTAATTTTTAGGGAGTACCTCCTTCCCTCATCAACCCAATGTGTTTATTGCCTTACTGGCAAATAAAAGGGTGGGGGGGGGAGATAAAAATGAAATAAGATCTATAGTGACACTTTCTTGTAGTGTTTTAAGTGTGTGTGATGAGAGAAATAGTGCCTTCTATTTGGGGAAATATATCCAATTTTACAAGGTATAGCAAAGTTAAAAACTCCCTTTTAAAAAGACATCTGCAAAACATTCAGTAGTTGAGGAGATAATAATAATTAATTAATTATTAACAAATTTAATTAATTAACTAATTAAGGCAATTAAACCATGGGTAAAATGCTCCTGGTTCGGACTGGATCAGATGACCTGGTAGCAATTGTGGCAGGTGGTTCAGAGAACTGGTAGCGATGGTGGTGTGAGGCTCTGCCCATCTGCCCGGGTATCGTTACTTCCTGCTTTTAAAAGGTTAAAAAAAGGCTCTCACGATCACGCACCACAGCGTGATGTGGAAAAAAGAAGAGTTGGCCACGCCCACCCAGTCACATTACTCCCACCAAGCCATGCCCACAGAACCACTGAATTAAACCTAAATTAAAACCTTGAAAAACTGTCAAATGATTAAAAGTATAGATTGTACAATGAGGCAGTAGAAACAGTAGATCATATACTGAGGTTTTGTAAGAAGATCCACAAACTGATTATAAACAATATAATCCAGTTACTAAAATTATTTGCTGGAGCATTTGTAAAAATTATCATCAGCAGTAATGAAAAATTGGTTATATGATTGAACTATAATTGAAAAAGTAATTAAAAATGAGCAGGTTAAATATTGTGGGATTTCCAACTGATAAAGTCTTGGCTGATAACACCCAAAATTTAACAGTGATTGAAAAGAAGGAAGTTTTGATAATTGATGTGACAATACCAGGGGAAAGTAGAAGAGAAAACAAAGAAGATCACAAAAAATCCAAGATGAAAGTTGATGACATAAAATGGCCCTCACAGGACTTATAGGCATATCATCTGTCAATGGCAAAAACCCACACTGCCTGCATTTGCAGATTATATAACACTGATACAGACCAACATACTAGGTTCTTGTGAATAACTTGATTCGTATGAAGGCCAACATCAGCCAAAGAACTGGCAATCATGACTGCAAATTGTTATGAATAAATAATAATAACTTTAATATTATAAACCATAATATTTGCCTATCCAGGGTCCATGGGAAGGGCATGATAGATGGATAAAAATCCCAAATCCAGTCTAAATACCTGGCTGACTGTGATTCATAATCATCATGATCTAGACAAATAGATACAATAGAAATACAATAGACAATAGAAAATGAGGAAGCTAAAGTGCTCTTGGACTTTAGGATTGAAACAGACAAACACCTGCCACATAACATTCAGAACTTAACAACTGTTGATAAGCAAGACAAAAAAGTCTGGTTAGTGGACATGGCAGTACCTATAGACTGCAGAATTAAAGATAAAAGGATTGGAGAAAATCAAAATACAAATACTTATAAATACAAGTAGAATGATTGTGGCAAAAAGAAACAAAGATAGTACCAACAGAGATAGGCATCTGGAACACTACTTGAATATCACAACATTTACAAAATACTGGCAATCATTCAGTTGCAATAGGCAGCTGTACTTGGAACAGCTTACACCTGCAACAAACAATACCTTTAGCACAGGGTGTCAAACTCACATCGTCACGGCAGCATCACGTGACGTATTGGGACTTTTTTCTTTCGCTAAACTGTAATGCATCCGGCCTGCGGCCCGTGAGTTTGACAGTTCTGCTCTAGCACAATCAAACAACATCTGTATCAGAGGTTCATTGGAAGGTCTTAATAGATGAATAAAAATGCCAAATCCAGTCTAAATATCTGTAACTATGCGACAAACCATAGTAATACATAGTTGCTAAAAAAAATAGATTGCCCCATCAAAAATGTATAAATGACAAATGTAAGGCTTCGGCTAAACAAAAATGATGTGATCCTTTATCTGAAACAAGCAAAATAAAAACAAAAATTGCAGTTTTATGACTCTGAGATGCCGCAATTGGTTGTAAATGTGAGCTGGTTGCCAAGCACTCAAAATGCAGTCACTATGGAGGCAGCATGGATAGTAAAGCACCTTCTCTGTGTCCCTAGGTCATGCAATCATCTTTTGCAACCTTCTGACAAGCAAAGTCAATGGGAAAGCCAGATTTACTTAACAAACATATTATTAACTTAACAACTGCACTGATTCACTTAACAAATATGGCAAGAAAGGTATAAAATTGAGCAAAAATCACTTAACAACAGAATTTTGGGCTCAGTTGTGCTCATATATTTTTATTCTCTATATTTTTATTCTCTTTCTCTTGGAGGTCCCTTGCAGTTTCCAAAAAAAGGAAAGCTTTTCTTATGGAAAGAAATGACTTGGAGAATCTTTTTGCTATGTGTTAAAATTAGCTTCTTGAAAGCAGACTCAGTGATTGGAAATCTGGATTACTGATGATGATTGATTATTCTATATCAATAAACAATCTGCTCATCTATTTATATCTACAGATATATTTAGCTGAAAAGTGCTTGTCTTTTAGCTACAAAAAATTTCTAGACATTCAATACACATTGATATCAAATTGAAGAAAGATCTTGGAATATTTATCCTATAGAAGAGAAGATGAAGTGGTAGTAAGACAGCCTTTTTCCAATATGTGAAGAACTTATCATGCAAAAGATAGAACAGGCTATTTTTCTTTATTGCTCAAGAGAACAAGGTTATAACCTAGAAGAAGGCAATCATCTGGAGGCACATCAATGCCTATTTCTTTCCAACAGTTAAGAAGAGGCAAAAATATATTTGAAACTCAATTTTCAGTTCAACTCCCAAATATTTTATTCATGTATTTCATAGATTTATTCTTTTTGTTGTACTGATTTTCTTTTTCTTACCTTGTGTTTCTTTATCACACCCTTATATTCACAACCAAAATCAAAGCATCGATTGAAAAATAAGTTTTCTTTTTTCCACTGCAAAAAATCCAGATACGGAAAGCTGTTGGCTGTTGATCAAAGACCAACACTGAACACTCAAGGCAAAGCAAAGATTTAAAATGGAAGATTACTGAAAAAACCCTCAATCTCAGTGAGAAATTGTTGCAATGAAATCATATAATAAAATTATAACTGTGGCCATTCGTTATATTTAATTTTACACTATCATATTTGCGCATCTTTTTACCAATATTTTAACACATCTGATAATCTTAGTATGCCCAAAATGTTTTCCCTATGGGAAAATGAGCAGCCGTACATGCCCCAACTCTACTTTTTACAGACTCTGTGTCCCTCAGAGCATACTGTTCCCAGCTGCATAGATTTGGAAATATTTTTGGTAAAAAAATTAAAAATAGGTGCATTAAGACTCTACTACAGGGGTGGGAAACATGAGAAGTTGGGATTGTTGTGCAGAGCCACTGCCCACCCATCCCTTCCATCATTGTGGGCTGGACAGGAACAGTGAAAGGATTGGATGTGGCTCATGGGCCATAAAATACTGATATCCTATATTCTATCTTTTTATAGGGGTAAATATAGATTGAAACTCCTCCTGTCACTATATCACTATAAGGTTTCCTTTAGCTCTAGAAAAGTACTTTTTAAAACATCTCTAAACATCTTTTTCTCTAAAAAAGCTGACCTTCACCGTCAAGAAAATATTGCTGGATTCAACATTCAAGGGCTTGGGAAGGATTTCAGAGTACGAAAAAGTTTATAGAGCTTAGAAAAACTCAGTTCAGGTCGAAGAATGAAGTCTCCAGTCTCGGCTATTCTATGCTAATTATGATTATGATAAAACATCAATTGTTCAGCTTTTGTGATGTCAAGAAGGGTTGGCACTGTCAACTTTATACTACAGTATATGAATACCTTCAGAAATTATTAATAGTTTTAATGGTACTGAACTTGTAACTGCTCATAGTTATGGCCATTGCAGTGTTTCTGCAATGACTGTGATTTAGATGCTTGACAACCAGCTTGAAGTTATGATGGTTGTAGTGTCCCATGGTCACATGATAGCCACCAGCCACAGTGGTGCAATGGTTAGAATGCAGTAATGCAAGCTAATTCTGCCGCCTGCTGGCTTCCTGCAATTTTGCAGTTTGAATCTCACCAGGCTCAAGGTTGACTCAGCCTTCCATCCTTCCAAGGTTGGTAAAATGAGGACCCAGATTGTAGGGGCCAATATGCTGATTCTATAAACTGCTTAGAGAGGATGTAAAGCACTATGAAGCAGTATATAAGTCTAAGTGTTATTGCTATTTTCAACCTTCATTGCAAATTGATTTCCAACAAACGAAGTCAATGGGGAACCTCACAGGAGGATGCAAATGGTGGCTGCATGACTGTGGGATGCCATGACCCTGCAGGGTTGACATAATGATGGCAACCTGAAACTGGCGCAACTGCCACAATAAATCAGTCACATAATGATGCATTTTACAATTATTTGCTTAGGGATGGAGTTGCTGGTCTGATTTACCATACTTAAGTAAGGACTGCCATACTGCTCACCCATAGCTGCATAGATTTGGAAATATTTTTGTTAAAAAAATTAAAAATAAACTGAAAGTAGTCTCTTGAAATGCAAAAATAACTTTCAAACTGAGGAAGGTTGCTCCAGCATTTTGGGCAGTCTTAAAATATTTATTTTTTTCCTATAATTTTCAGGATGCCATTCAAAGTAAGGAGAAAAAAGCACAAAAAGCTAGAAGCACAGAGACTTTTATCTCAGACAAGTCAATGTACCTATATATCTAGCTCAGTATTATTTCCATCAGACAGTCCCACTGGTATCCCAATCAGAATCTTTAGAATTGCTCCAGAAGGGTAGGCTCAAAATTTATACTGTTTTGCAATTTTGCACCTTCCAGAGAAAGTAAAGAACTGAAGATGGCTCTGAGAAAGTGGAAGTGATGACTCTGGCAAAGATCAAGGAATTTCCAATTTTCCTTGGAACTTCTCCAGAGAAAGAGAGGATGAGAGATTTCTTACATGTTCTCAATACAGCTGCATCTCATGAGGAGACTACAGAATAGCAGTTTTCTTTAGATTTAAAAGATTATGGTATTAGTCAATTTGTGAGCAATTGCAGCAAGCTTTTAAAAGGCAGTTAATTTTAGATACCTCACTTTCTAATAACTTTCTGAAATTTCTCAATATCTACTTCTAATCTGTTAGAAACTTTTAAGATGATATTTGAAAATGTTGGGTGAAATGGCCTTCAATTCCGAGCCAATTTTTTTTCACAATCATAAACTTAAGTATTCAAAGTATCTGAAATAAACATCAAAAAGTTAAAATTTTGGTTTTAGAAAGCTATAAACAGACTAAAGGCTCAGATAAAATTGTAACACTGAAACTTTTACAATAAGATTTGGAATTAATTTTATAAAACTAAAAACTTCTCGTGGGGCAGGCATAGGTTCTGTTTTTTTAATAAGAAAATTAAAATCTGCAATTTCATAATTTTAAAAACTGGACATTAGAGAGTCTGAGTTTAGATAGACAAAAAATTTAAAAGCCTATAAAGTGTTGCAAAATGTTCTAACAATGTGAACACAGGTACATGCACACACGCACATGGACACAAAGAGGGAGAAAGAGAGGGAGAGAGACACACACGGAGAGAGATGTGCACATGTATTCAAACTGAACTGATTTCTAAATAACAATTACGAAACATAATCGGCAGATCCATCTTATGCTATTATTTTTCTGATTTATGAAAGCATGTACTGTATGTGTGTGATTTTTATGCAGACTTGTTTGAATCATTTAACCTATGTATGCTACCCAGCCCAAAAAGGTTGTGTATGAAGCAAATTTGGATGAAAAATATTCAGTAATAATTTTATAACTCAATTAAATCATGTACCAGATTCAGAAAAAGTAATCTAATGCTCTCTATTCTACTTTTTGGGACCTTAGGTTTTTGCTATTGACCTGATTGGCTAGGTATGACAAGAACTGAAGTCCGAAGTAAATGATGCTTCCAAACCTTCTCTATATTTTCTTTATGATTGTAAAGCTAGATTTCATGATTCTGAATCCATTAAACTGTATGACTTTTACAACTTTGCATCAAAAATTGCAGTATTTTAACAGCAGCTAGGAAGAGAGAATTTCAAGAAACAGAAATATATAGGAAGCAAAACCAAGAAAAAAAGCCTGAAATCAGAGTAGATTGCACAGTTCATATTCTTCAGTTTTCAGCTAAATGATTGTAGTAGATACTGAATAAAATATCTTCACGTAAGCATAAACAAACTGTGCGTTTCCAGAAATGATCTTTGCTGATATCTCATACTGTCAAGGTTTAGCATTTCTGAGTAAAATTTAATGTATGTATCAAAACAAACTGCTGATGGAAAAATATGAAATGTTTTGATGCAATAAAGGAAAGAGCAGCTTGAAAATGTTCACATCTAAGTTAAAAAATAAAATGGCAAGCATTGAAGATCTCTGCATTAATTTGCTTCCCTCCAAGCTATCTAGCAATTTCCCTACACTGTTTCAAATCTCATTACGAATTGTATATTTATTTTGAACAAAATTAGCGGGAATCCAAAAAATACTGAGATTATCAAACAATTGCCTCATCCAATATTAAAAAATGGTCTAGCCTAGATTAATACAGACATACATTTTGGTTAGAAACACAATTTTCTTTTTCATTATTTTATAAAAATTGTAATGGAACACAATTTTTTTCAGCTAGATGGATTCTGAATTTTGTACAATTGAAAGTCTAAGGTCATTGTGAGCATGCTTAGAACATATAATATATGGAAGATTATAATACGTGTATAACTACAGATATATATCTGTGTGTGTTTGTGTGACTAAGAACATAAAACAAATAAAAAGTAATATAGAATGAGAAAGAAATGAAGAAAAAATAAAAAAGAGAGTTAGAAGTGCCCAAAAGGGAAAAAATATAAAAAGGAAAAGTAAATAGAAAAGAAAGAAAAAACATTCAAAGAATTAGCTTCCAATTTTCTTAATAGCAGTTAGAAGTACAATTCTTTCTGCCAAAACTGCAGCAAATAGATTATAGCCCTTGTTTAATAATGAGATTGGAAGTTTTACAGGCATGTATACTCATGAAGATCAATCTGGCTTTGTGCCAAAAACAGTTAAGGGACAACGTAAGGATTGTTCTGAATATTATTGAATATTTACAATATCATAATAAAAAACAGGCAGCTTTAATATTTTTAGACGAAGAGAAAACCTTTGACAATTTAAATTGGACTTTTAATGTTTAAAGTCTTGGAAGAAATGGACTTTGGTGAGAATTTTATTTAAGGGATCAAAGCTGTTTATACATCACAGCAAGCAAAAGTTGTTATTAACGCCTTAATCAATTCATGCAAAATTCAAAAGGGTACAAGACAAGGATGGTCTCTGATTCCTTTGCCGTTTATACTATAGATCTGAAATGATGAACCTATGAGATGGCACGCAGTGCCCTCTCTGATGGCACACGAGCTGTCACCACAGTTCAGTTCTGCCACGAATGTGTGTGCGCCTCTTGCTGACCAGCTAGTCTTCGGGTCTCTGCTGCGCATGCGCGGGGTGCATGCAGGGGGGTTGTGCATGCATGCGTGAGACATAAGGCACATGCAGTGGTCACACGTGTATGCAGGGGGAGGGGGCGTGCAGGGGGACGGGCCACATGTGGGTGTGTTGCATGTGTATGCGCAGGGCGGCCTTGTGTGGAGGAGTTGCACACGCATGTGCAGGGACGGGGCACATTTGGTGGGTTGCACGTACATGCACGGGAGTCGGAAATGTGTGGGGGTGTGCGCGTGTACGTACGGGGGGGCAGGGCACATGCATGGGGCATGGGGCATGGATGCATGCATTGCGTTTTGGGAGTTCGGGCACATGGTTTGGGCACTCTGATCAAAAAAGGTTAGCTATCACTGCTGTATATGATATAATACTATAAATTGAAAAGTAAAGTAAAACAAAAAGCCAGAAAATAAAAAAGAAATAAAAAATAAAAAGAGAAAAGGAAAGGGGAAAAAAACTAAGACAGCAATTCCCAGTCTTTTCCCCAAACTGTTTTACCACCTCTTCACCTCCTCTTAATTAATATAGTAAAATTCTTCATCCCATTAGTCAACTGTTATCCTTACATAAGTTCAGCAACCAATGCCTTTTTCATTAAAAATATATAAAATATATAAAATATATTATATTTAAATTAAATATATTATATATTTAAATATATAATATATAAATATATAAAATTCACCATTTCGAATCTCAACTCTTAATTCTAAGTAAGTAAATCCAATACACAACAGATTTTCCAGTTGTAAATCAGTCCAGAAATAACACCCCCAAATAATCGCAGATTTCATTTTAACCTTTTTACCAGTTACCGGTGGCCCTTCGGATCCGCTTCAAGGTGCTGGTCTTGACCTATAAAGCCCAACATGGCATGGGCCTGGGGTACTTGCAGGACCATCTCCTACCAGCCTCCCACCGCCCAGTGCGGTCACATAGGATTGCTCTCCTCCGGGTGCCATCGGCCAGACAATGTCGGCTGGTGGCCCCCAGGATGAGGGCGTTCTTGGTGGCCGCACCGACCTTCTGGAATGAATTACCCACCGGGATTTGGACAGCCCCCGACCTTCGCGCTTTCTGCGCCGAACTGAAGACATGGCTTTTTCAGCAAATTCCCTGATCTGTTGAGATTTTAGTTGGGGTTTTTACATTTGGATGTTTTTAGTTTTATTTATTGTTATATGTTTTTTATCTGTGAGCCGCCCCGAGTCCTATGAGAGCAGGGCGTCATAGAAATCTAAGAAATAAAATAAACCTGGATCAAAAAGGCCTATGGGACTTCCAGTTTGACATCATGGCAAGACGGTCGGATATAGTGGGGCTTTGCAAATCCAGGGCTGATTTTCTTTGCCAGGAGGCTCTATAGGGCCAAAGTCATCCTGGAGGGGTGCGAAGAAAGGAGAGATCCCTTGATGATCGTGAGAGAATGGTGGCTCTCCCACTGGATCCAAGGCACCCTCCCAAGTAATGAAGCAGAGAGATGGCCATTATGGCCGGAAGAAGCACTAATGAGCTATTTTGAATAGAGCATTGGAACTGGGTGAGACTATTTTCAACTTCTACATTAAAGACGTATTCCTAAATATTCCTCCTATAAAACTTATAGAAAAGTTTTTTCTCAGAAAGAAAGATTCTCCAAAGCATAGAGAAAGCGGCAAGTTAATACGTTTTGATTATTTGACAATCAGCTGCTATATCTTTCGCTTCAAGATTGGAAGTTAGAACTGGAGTGACACCTACTAGTGAAAAATGATATTATTCTATTACATTGCTGGCAAAAATCTTGAAAATAAGGCAAAGTGAAAGGTAAACAATACTTGGAAGATTGTTTTTTTGCTCTGGGAATAGACAATATTTTCTTCTTGAAACTTGCTGAACCTGGTGGCTTATGAGTTCTGTTGGCATTGCAAAATGGCTTGGAGACTGAGAGAATTGGTGTTTTTTTTTTACCAAATACTTTTGAAAGAGTCAATTAGTGGAATAACCTGGAACCGTTTAGAGACTATGGGAATTGCCTCTTGATTTAGAATGTGGATTAACTTGGTGGGCCATCTGGATTTACACCAAGATTAGCAGGCCATTAAAGCAAAGACTAAGAGAAACAATGTCACAACAGGGAAAAACAAACACATTTAAAAAAGAAATAAAATTGATGTTTCAATCTATCCAGGAAGCTATGATAAAGAATTATAACAAGATGAAAAAGGACTTGGGGAAGATCAAGAAACAGACGCACAATATGATTGTGCAATTAGGAAACCCTCAACAAATAGTAATGGAAAATGAACAAAGAACCCAGAGAATAGAAGAGAAATCAGAAGGTGTGGAGGAAAGAATAGAGGAGATAGATCAACAATTGATACAAGTAGATAAAGATATGAAAAGGATAGTAATAATTCCTGAAATGCAGAAGGTAGTTTACTCTCCAAGCTGTCAAAATATAGAAAAAGATAGAGAGGAAGATTCCCTAGAAGTGATGTAGTTGTTGGTGGGTGCCCTAGAAATGGGAATACATGAGATAGACATAGAGGCAGATGAAATACTTAAGACTAAATATGAGTGATGTAAGGAGACACATGGTCCCAAGGGAGCAGCATGTGAGACTGGCTAAAAAGTCAACAAGAGTCGAAATATTAAAAAGGGCAAGAGATGATGGAAAAAACAGAATATTTTTTAACCTGGGATTTGTTTTATTAATGACTGGAAAATAGAGGTAGAAAGCAGAAATTGGGAAAATACTATTATGTATACTGTCACATAATATATTATTACCATGTACATGTAAATATTAGAAGTCGAAAGATTATTTCTATGTGAACAATATGGTTACTGTTATATTATGTATAAGTAAATTGACTGGACAATACACTGTTCACTAAGCACTTACGTATGTTGAAGAAAAAAGTATAAATAAATTTTAAAAAGCCAACGTTATGTTCCTTCTTTTTATACAAAACAAGGCACTTTCCAAATAAGGTTAGCAAAGGAAGCATGAACTTCGTGACTTTTGAAGGATCTGACTACAGCTGGAATAAGAATGGCAAATTTCTTTGTCTCTCAGGTCTTCCGCCCAATGGGGAACACTACCTTGAAGTCTCATAAGGAGCAACAGTATGGCATATAACATGGTCAATCTTGCATCTTCTCTTTCTCCAGACAAATTGGAGGAGCCAATTTACTCATCAACTATTTTTTCTCCTGTTTGAATCCAAAATGTTCTAGTTTTTTTACAACAAATGATAAAATGTCCCTTCTTGTTCTAATATATATTTAAAGTGCCTATATTAGATGCTAGACTACGTCTTTGCTCATATATACCAACAGTACAACATATTATAAATATTTTCTTTACAATTATAACATAATGTAAAGTGCAATAATTTCAGCCACATATTTTCCAGTTATTCCATCTGTATATTATAATCAAATTTTTAGTCCATTTTATCTTACTTCTTTCATTTGTTTTTCTTCTGTTTCAACCTTCAATAAAAATGTATAACTCTGTGTTTTAGGAATTAGTTTTCTGTCCTTACAGACTATCTTTGTTTTCATTACTTTAATGCACCAATTCATTTCAGTATTTTTATTTTTTGAAAGTCTCATCAATTTATTAAAACATAACTTTCTTGCAGGATCCAATTTGGTCACCAGGACCAGAGGTTTAGTCTTCCAAGTTTTCGGATTTCTGCTGGAGACCTTCTCAGAGAAGTTACAACATTTCCCTGGGACACGTATATTTGCCTTCATTCATAACTTTCTTGATTGTTCCATTTTTCTCAACTCATTTATTTTTTCCCCATATATTTATTTTGTGATCTGATACTCAGTCATAAAGTTTATGACCAAGTAGACTCAATGTTCATTTTTTATATTTGTTTTTCAT